CCATCACAATCATTTTGCCATTGATATGCATCAAGATCACCAAATAGTATAACACTAGTTTAAAATAAATTTAAAGGAATGACTACATATTGGTATAAAAACACTTGTTGATGTTATAACACACACACACATATTATATAAAAGACTTACACTGACATAGGAAGCATATGCTGTCTTCCTTTGAGAAGTACTGTCCATAGATGATCAAACAATTACTAAAGCTTGCTTCCTATATCAGGGTGCTAATTTAGGGAACATTGCTCAGTTGTCACATCTAATATATGAAAGAACGGGGCAAATGTTGTGAAGTGTTTTCGTCATAGCTTCCATTAAAAGCAAGTGTATTTAAAGCAAAACTAATTTCATACATCTTTTGGCCTCATTTCAAAACTCTTTGCACGTGAGATCAGATATCTGGCAAGAACAGTATGGGACGAAGAAAGGGAGGGAGGGAGGGAGGGAGGGAGGGAGGAAGGACGGATAGACATTGTCTATTTTGGCTCAGGCTCTGCCCATCTTTGACTTTTATCATTGCCTAAATGTTCCTTGTCCACCTCCTCAATATTTTACATTCAAAAAATGTGGTTAGCAGGAAATAAATAAATAATTCTGCCTTTAAAATAAACTAATTTCAACATAAACAGAAATTGCTAATTTTGTGAACTAAGAACAACATCTGAGTGGAAAAGACTGGGAAAAAATGAAAACAAGGGAAAGGCATTGCTTATTCCAGGGGTCCCCAACCACCGGTCCGCGGACCGGTACCGGTCCGCGGAACAAGTCATACCGGGCCGCTGGTTGCTGGGCGGCGCCATCTTTTTTTGATGAAAAAGTGCTTCCGGTGAGCTTTTCCGGGTAGAAAGCTCACCGGAAGCACTTTTTCATCAAAAAAAGATGGCGGCGCCCAGCTGATGCCGGTACCGGGCCGCGGCGCCCAGCTGATGCCGGTACCGGGCCGCGGCATAAAAAAGGTTGGGGATCACTGGCTTATTCGACTGCAAAAGTCAATCTTTCAGCCAATATCCCATGCTCAAGAATGTAGCATGTCTCAAACAAACATAATTAAACATTATAACCATGAAAGTAGGTATCATGTACTGCACAATTCTGTCTAAATTTGTTTAATATTTTCTACAGTACTGCAATTTACCAAAAGATCTTGTCTCTGCCAGAGAATTCAGATTAGTAAAATGTTACTCCTTCTTATCCTTTGCAACATTTCTTTTTAATATACAGATCGTGTGCTTTAATATGTTTTTCTGTATTGTTGAGAAACAAACAGAACTAAATTCATATTCAAAATAAATCAGGTAACAGAGCATTTTGGTCTGCGTTTCAAAATTGAAGAGAGCTCAGATTTAGGATAAAAGGCAATCTGACTGTTAAATCTGTCTCCTGCTTGATTATGAGAACCTTACATTTAAACACCCTATTTTTAAAATATGCCAGTTATGCCCACATTCCTTAGGAATATTTTCTAGTTTTCGTAAGTCATTATTTTTAACTTCTACTCTGGCTAGTAGCCTCAAAAATCAACACACATACACATTCACACATTTAAATCAAGAGATAGTTTTCAATAGTTTCCAAAGCTGACAGTTTGATTTTCACTTCTACATAGCTTTACAAAAACAGTCGCAGATTAAATATACAAATAGGTAAAGTCATGATCTGATATGTCCACAACACAGATCAGAATAAATATTTCACAGGAAACATATAAATTGAAAATGGCATTAAATAGTAAATTCTGTCCTCTGGTATCATTTTAGTAGTTTACAATGAATATATAGTTAACATGTTAGTGTACATAACCTCATTTTGTTCAGCATCTTAGGTACCATATTATACAAAGGAACATTTTTTAATCCTTGAATGGATTTTTTTCCTCTGATCTCTGCTCATCTTTGATATTGTAGTAAAACTATCCATCTTGATTTGTTCAGATTTTCCCTTGGTATAATGCAGGTATGCAGGAAGATCTTAAAACACTAGCCTCTCGTTTTTCTGAGATACCATTTTCTTTTGTAAACAGTGATGAACATTTTCTGAATGTTCCTACAGATTTACTTTATTAGCAATTATTTCTCAAATCAGTTATAGAAATAATGCTTGGAAAGTTTTGATGTAGTCACTACCAATGAAATTTTTGACCTTATAAGAAAGTATAACAATAATGGTTTAAAAAAACCACCAACTCTGGTTTCTGAACTGAATCCTGGTATGAAAAAGATTGTGTTCACTTGTATACTGGTTATTGCCTTATTTATGAAGACAATTCAGAAAAGAAAAAAAAAGTCAACATAACTGTAACTCTTCTAAAGCTGCTTCATCTGAATAGATGGTGGAATTCAAAACTCTGTCAGCCCGACAGGAGGAAGACCAACAGAAGAGATTTACATTAAGATGTAATATTTGGTTTGTACATAGTATGTTGTATGAATACAGCCAATGGTCGATATATTTATGCATATAAGTGTGTACGTAAGTGTGTGTGTGTGTGTGTGAGTAGTCTTTGACTCAAGACTGTCTGTTCAGAGCCTGCTCAGAATTACAACAGCACTGGATGGACTTTTGACCTGTCCCCAAAGTTATGGCCACTGCAGTGCCCCTGTAATCATATAAACCAAATTCAGATGCTTTGCAATCTGCCAGTCCTTATGATCAACCACAATGCCGCTTCCACCTATTGCCCCCCGCCCATCTTATTTTGCTGAGTCCCACAGGCCTTTGACCTGCTTCCTATCCTGCTAGGTCCCATCACCACTTCTTCCCATCATGGCATGGTAAACTTATCTTTTCTGCAGATTGCCTTTGGGAAGAAGTAGCAATAGCAATAGCATTTTGCCTTATATAACGCTTCAGAGAAATTTACAGCCCTCTCTAAGCAGTTTACAGATCATCATATTGCCTCCAACAATCTGGGGTCCTCATTTTACCAATCTTGGAAGGATGGAAGACTGAGTCAAGCTTGAGAATCGAACTGCTGGCAATTGGCAGAATTAGCCTGTAGTATTGCATTCTAACCAGTGCACCACCATGGCCAATCCACCTTCCTATACAGGTCACATGGTGAGCACCATTTTGGAAATGGCTGCAATTCTCACAATCTAAGAATTGTGGCAGCTCCTAAAACGGTGTCCACTTCCAGGAGAATACCTTATTGTATAGGAAGGCCGTGGGGCACATTGGATGGTTCTTTTTCCTGAAGGTGACCTCAACACATTAAGTGGTAAAAGAGGAAGTAAAAAAGATATTCCCGAAAATCACAAGTCACCTTTTGAAAGCAGAACCACCTGATCTGCCCCACAGCCTCTGTGTAGGATGACATAGTGCTATCCCAGTGGCCAAAAAGAGATGGACTAAAACAGGGGTCACCAACCTTTTGGACCTCAGGGACCACCAAACTCATAATTTTAGATCCCAGGGACCACTAACCGGTTCTGTGGGTGTGGCCTAATTTGTGGGTGTGGCTTGGTGGTCATGTGACTGGCTGGGCATGACTTGTATGTAAATATAAATATTTATATAATTATTGATTTTTTTGTAAAATAAGAGCAACTTTTACCCAAAATCAGGCAAAGCAGGCAGATTGAGTTGCTCACAGAATCAGATTCATTCAGAGATCTATCTATCTGCCATTGTCATAGGTCAGTCTACCACATAAAATCTGCTTGCAAACTCATAAAATTTGTTAGCAAGCAAACTCAAAAAATTAACTCACAACACACTATGTATGTAAATATTGGATTTTTTATAAAAAAGAGCAACTTTTACCCAAAATCAGGCAAAGCAGGCAGATTGAGTTGCTCACAGAATCATTCAGTGATCTATCTATCTGCCATCGGCTAGCTCAGTCTCTCAAATTTGCTTGCCGTGAGTCTGCACTGAATTTGCTTGCAAGCAAACCTTCAGTCCTAAGGGAGGTTCGGCTGTGCTGAGCCAAAGATCTAAAGACTAGCTAGAAAGCAAGAAATCCAACCATTTCCTGCTTCCTAGCTAATCTAAATCTCCCAGCACAGCAGAACAGAGGATGGTCGGAAAAAGGAAAAATAGCAATTTAGCAGGCAAATTTACTGGGTAAGGAGTGAGTGGGCGGGGAGGGTTCCCGCGGGCCATGTGGGCAGCACAGCCTTGTGTTTCTGCGCAGCCTGGATTAATTGCTTTGTGGGGGTGCTCTGGGGGTGAGATTTCTCTGCGGCCCACCAAAATTTTCTCACGGCCCATCAGTGGCCCGCAGCCCACCAGTTGGCAACCGCTGGACTAAAAGACAACACTGAGGCATTAATCAAAGCAGCATCAGAACATGTATGAAGCATCAGATCCATAGAAGCAAGATCTATAGACAGCACCCAAGGTACAGACTATGCAGAGGCCTCAGAAATAGTCCAACACTTAGTAGCAGGAAAATTCAATAAAAATTATGACTAAAAACCTAGGTAGGAAGATATGCTTTTTCATTATTAAAAGGCTCCACAGAAATGTAAACCTTTATGTACTTTTCTAGAAACTAGATCCCTTCTTCAAATTTATTTCAAAATGGCTGTAGAGGTGAACACCTGCATTCGTAAAAAACACTACATTAACTTATAAATAGGTTTATCTTATTAACATTATACATTTTTGCACAACTAGAATTATTATATTCCCCCCTCCCCCATAATTCAAGGAAGAATTTTTCCTTAATTTTATCCTGATGCTGCTCATGAAAACTGGTGCCCTATATCTTTTTATTCCCTTTAAAATTCACAAATACTAGCGTATCAATAACTATACAATTGTAATGAAAATGAAATTAATGTAATGAAATCCACAATTCCACAAACAATCCTTGATTTAGACTGAGAACCAATATAGCCAATAGTTAAAGTGCTGGACTAGTACCAGGTAATCCCAAATTCTAGTTCCTCCTCAGGTACAAAGGTCAGTTGGTTGACTTGGGCCAGACTCTAGATTAAATACTCCAACAAAGTTTACAGAATATAAAAAGAAGACTTTATTAAAATGGGTGTCTGTTAAACTTTTATATAAAACTAAGGCCACAGCTAATGCTAAAATAATGTTAAAAAGTTTTATGATTTAATTTAAACATTTTATACAAAGCTATTTTACAAATGAGTACTCAAACAAACATGCTTATTCTAAAATTTAATGATATAAAATATTAACCTCTCAATACATATACTTTATATTTCTTTTGGTCCTTTAACTATTTTTTTTCATGGCTCCTGCTATAGATATTAACTGAAATAGAAATGTTGCAGCTTTTGAAAACAATCCTTCCTTTTTGAATCAAGTTCGTTTCTTGAAATATTAAACATCCCCAGTCATAATAGCAATAAACTCCTCCTGATTGACTGTTAAAAAGAAAAAAATACATATGTACCACATTCTTGTTCAAAATGTTTCACTCAAATTAGCATCTCAAACTTATTTCATTCAGTTAAGACAACTTGATATTTTTTCTAAAAGGAAGTAACAATCTAATTTCAACTGGAAATCTTGCATCCTTTTAATGGATGGACAGTATTTAATAGTAGAGGGAACCAATTATTATTAATAAATTAAAATAATATAACCATCCCAAGCACCCCAAATTACTCAGAGACAAGTAACCAATTCATTTTAAAAAGAATTGTTATGCTATATATAGTTTCAACCATAATTACCACTACAGATAGTCCTTGACTTAAAACCGTTCATTTAGTCACTGTTCAAAATTACAATGGAACTGAAAAATTTGACTTATGACTGTTCTTCATACTTACGACCATGCAGCATTTCTATGGTCACATGATCAAAATTCAGAGGCTTGACAACTGCTCATATTTATGACAGTGTAGCATCCTGGGATCACGTGATCCCTTTTTGCAACCTTCTCACAAGCAAAGTCAATGGAGAAATCAGATTTACTTAACTGTTATTAACTGAATAACTGCCGCGATTCACTTAACTGGGGCAAGAAAGGTCATAAAACAGGGGGAAACTCACTTAATAACTGTCTCACTTAGCAACAGAAATTTTGAGCTTGTGGTTGTAAGTCGAGGACTACCTGTACACCAGCTGCTTTAAATGTTAGGTTTCGACATATTTTATTGGCATGCGTTTATGCTAACATCATCACTTTTAAAGTGAGAAGTAAATTTCATGCTTATTTTTCAATTATTTATAATGTCGAAGTTAATTCCAGTATATTTATTCATTCTACACAAAAGAAAAAAAATGGACATGCTATCAACATAATGTCAAGGAAATTCTCATTTTGAATAGGAAGAAAGTACCACTGTAGATTGCTTTTCTAAATACACTGGAAGCTTGTAGGATTTGTATTATTTGGATATTAGATTCAATTATTTCCATAAATCTCATCATTAAAATATTTCAAAGACAGAAAACAAAGTGCACATTTTTTTTCCTTCTCTAATCCAAAATTAGAATTATGCATACATATTCAGAACTTACTTTCTCCATCACCATCCTTATCAAATTCTTCAATCATTGCCCGAAGTTCTTCATCAGTCATGTTTTCCCCGAGTTCTCTAGCTACACGACGCAGATTTCTTAAGCTTATTTTACCTGAATCATCATCATCAAACAATTTAAATGCCTTGAGTATCTCCTCATGTGGATCTCTTTCAAGTATCCAGTCTGTCACTAAAATGGAAAAAATAAAATATTACATCTTTTACAAAAACATTTTTATTGTTAGAATTGTATTCTCCACAATTTTTTTTTACTTCTGTTTCATACATCAACTTTATGACTTAATTTAAAAGGTGCATTTTTACCATCAATCAAAATCAATCTCTACTTGCATGTACATTGGTTTATTCTCTAGTAAAATCAGTAATATAAATCTATGGTTCTTATTAAAAGCTATGCAGACATCGTGAGAAGTTACATTAAGAACAAGTATAAAATATTATATGGCATGATTAATTTTTTACATTTTTCCCATAATTTAAGTACAATAGAAAATATAGTTTGGATTTTGAAATCCTGATGGTTTGTTTTCTCCTGCCTCTCTCCTAATATATTAAAAAAAACCTTGTCTTTGTCAATAGCTTAATGTTTTCATATCTGTTAAAATACATATAAATTAAACTTTGATTGCCAATTATTACTTTATCAGTAATTTGCTTAAATTCCAACACCTACCAACTTCATTAAAGTCATCAAAGGAGATTTTCCCACTTCCTTCCCGATCATAATCTTTAAGTATCTTTAATACATCTGCCTTTTTCACATCGAATCCTAAGGCTCTCATTGCCACCTTCAGGGGAAAGACAGAAATACAACATTTCAATTTGGCACATAAAAATAACTTTTCTTTGTAAATTAAATTTAGGTAAGAGATACTATAGTAATAAGAAAACCACAAAATTTGGAACAAAGCATTAATTCATTATGTTCCAGGGACACAACTATAAGTGAAGATCCTTTCACCTCGATAGCAATAACAAATTAAATGTGACAATTAATTTAACTGATTAAATACATTTTTCAAATATGTCTCTTTATACGATTATGTAAGAAATTCCAGGAGACTAGCAGCAGGGCAAATGTTCTACTCTGAGGAATCTAGTACTGCTGAATTCAAGGATAGGAGAAACTACCTTTCTTCTTTCATTTCCTCTGATCTGGAATCAGTCTGAATAGGGGCTGGGGGGTGAGGGCAACCATGATAATATTTCCTTCTAACAGAACATCACGCATTACTGTAGAAATTTCTACAACAGTTAAGAAACGTTATTCATGTATCTTAATTAGTTCTCATTACATTACAATATTATTTACAGCACCTAATGCCAACACTAATAGCTCCCAGATGTGTGGTCCTCAATTCCCTAGATTTTAAGTGATAACCAAGGTGGCTAGAAATTCTAAATTGGTTCTTATATTAGGAAACCGCCATGGTTGGAAAGCACTGCTTTCTATGATTCTGCCTTTTGAAAAATATCTACAATGTCAACTAGTAATGCAAGATTGTAATTATTCTGAAAAAAGTTTGATTAAATTAACTAAAAAAAACTATGTCCTCCAATATGAACTTACTCACAATCTTAAACTATAACCTGATCAGTTACATAGGAATAAACCATGCTAAAGTCAGAGAGCCATATTTAGTAACAAATTTATTTAATTTTATATTTCATATAGATTTGAATCTCAATTTAATTTGTAAGAAAGATGACAAGAAAGGTGACTCAAGATTGGTCCTTATATTAGGAAACTGTTTCTTTCTAGTGTTTTCTTCACTTTTAAAAAATTTTCTTCACTTTTAAAATGTGGGTCTGCTCTAGACCTGCCCCCCACCCCACCCCACATTCCCCATAAGACCTTTACTGAATTGGGACTTAGTTGAATCGACAAAGCCTTTAATGTTTTACTTTTTGCCTCTATAAGATGTACTTAGGCTTTAAGACTCTATTGCAAATATTGTTCTTGGCCATGCTTTTATCTCTGTACTTCAAAAGCTCTCCTGTCTGTAACCTTTAACTGGGTGAATAGAACAAAGCATTTTGAACCAAACTACCTCAGTAGACCAATTTATAGAACGTGTCCAAAATCCAAGACCCAGGACTCCCATGGAATTGAATTTGGCAAACTTTATAAAACATTTTATGATATAAAATTATCATAAAGCATTTTATGACATAATACAAAATATGATAAAATATTTATTGCAGTCAACTCTTGATGTTTGACTGTGCTGTATAGTTCAATATGAAGTACTTTCAAGGCAGATTCATCTCTCCCTGAATTTTTAAGAACTTTTCAAATAGCTCTGACATAGTTGAAGATACTAAGGAAATACCTCTGAAATGATGACCCAAGGAATCACAAGTTGTTTACTGTTATAATATTCTAACAGCTTCTTGCCATTCCTAAACTAACATGCAATTAACTACCTATTATAGAAGTACAATATTGCATATTTGAATATTAAGCCCAGTCATCCAAAATATTTCAAAACAAAGTATTAAACTTTTAAGAGAAAATGGATTGCCTTTAGTTCATGATAATCTATAGCATTATCTTTATCAGTGTCAAACAGCTGAAAAGCATCTTTGATTTCTTGCTTCTGTTCTTCAGTTAATTCTCTTCTTTTTTTTCTCTTGGTTTTTTCAACAGAAAATTCAGCTCTAAAAGAAAAGAAAAACGTTAACCATTGTACAAAAATAATTTGTCTTAATTATTAGCAAACTGTGTAGATCTAGAACCCATCTTAGTAGATGGATATAATGGGGTTTTGATAAATAAGCAAATGTCACTTTCCATGAGATCTGATTTTATATATCTAACCATAAAATTCATATTGATAGTATAAATGTCCTTCACCTGAATTACAAGCTGTACATATACTCCAAACTCTGAAATCCAGACTCTTAACCTTTCTGATTCACATTTATTTTGTAACTTTTGCATATATTATTTGCTTCCCAATCCTAACTTGCCCTGCTGTTATGTATTGGCAATGCTAACTGCATTACTACTGTAACAAGATACAGTACATGGAAATTTACCTATAATATGGTGATTATGGTGTGAGTTTCCTACTTTTGCTTTAATAAGTATAAATATCCATTTTGCGTCAACATTCAGTACTAAAACAAATACCTTTTTGCCAAATTTGTGGATAATCTGCTAATTCTGATGAGATCTTAAACTTCCCATCTCTAATTAATCCCATTCCCCAAATTTATCTCTAGTTACATCACTTGCCACATGATTGGTTCTACTATTTAAGATTTTCCCAGACACTTCTTTTAAAAGTACTTTTTAAAATTTCAAATTATAACTACCAGCAGTTATAAAGTTGAGGCGTTTTAATGTAAATTGCTATTTTAAAGCTATCGATACTGTAAACTGATAAAAAAAAATGTGGGGCGGGGGAATAAAAGGAATTGCAAAATCTGATAGACAATCATTCCAAGGTGAAGATTCCTCTGACATCTGGCAAACAAACGAGCACATACACGATTTTATTTTATCTTTTTAGCAAAAGCATGGAAACGGTTCGCACTGCCTTCTTAAGGAATTTGCTTCTCATTTTCCTTTCTAATCTACAGCTTTGGTATTTATTTCCCCATCTCCACACTAACCAAGTCCGCTTAGATTCTCTTTCGAGATTCTGAATCAATTCAGAATACCGGCAGAAATCATTAACCCTGCAATTGAGAGCGGGAGGGCGAGGGAGAAAATGTGTAGAAAAACCTCAGCACAACAAACACGTGAAGGCAGCGCTCCGCTGTTTGTTCCCGCAACCATCGCGCGCTACGGCAGATATCGCGACAAGCGTCGCACGCGAGGGGAGAACGTTACGTTACCATAGCAACAAGAAGCGAATCGTTACTTGGGTTCTCCCCTCCTCCCGAACGTTCGTACCCACCTCGTTACCAAATTCATTCTCCGGTCTCCCACCCCTTGAACCGGACACCAGGTGGGGGGAAAGAGACGTATCTCTTGTAATTAATGGTCAACTAAACCCGAAATTCAGACTCGACAACAGCCTTATCTCAAAAGCGGGACGTAAACCCAAGTCTCTCCGCCAACAATGCCGCTTCCCTCTTCAGATTTCAGCTACAATTGGACGTTACAACGCCTCTTTGTGTGTAGCCCAAAGCGATTGGCTAAGACTCCCGTCAATCAAGCTTCAGGCCTCCCTCCTTGTCTACTATTAGGTTGGAAAAGCGCCAGAAACTACCCAGGAAACACTGCGAATTCAACGTCATAGTGAGGGGAAGATAGAGGAAGGGAAGGAGTGTAAGCTGTGGTGACGTCGTGGCCTCGCTTCTCCGGATTTGAATGGTTAGGATTTAAGGGGTCGCTTTGCTCTGGACTCTGTCATTGAATAAAGTGCTTGATTTAGTTTGTTAGCGTCTCCTTCCGCCTGGAACAGTACAATGGCTTTTTAGGAGGCAGATCTGTGCTATTGTGTAATAATTAGTTTACATTTAGCAATCAAAAAAACATGTCTGTTTTGGATATATTTTATATGCTGTGACTGGAGCGGGTGGCGTGGGGTTATGCTTATCATACAGCGAGATAAGTATGTCTTGAAAGTATTTAGAATTCTGAAGGTCAATAGAAAATAAAGGGAAGTAGACAATGAAACTGATACGACTGAGCTCAGTGTAAATTATAAATTAGGTGACTTGCATCAGGGATTGGATCCTAAAAGGAATCAGACTAAGTTAATGTTAAACACATGCAAGCTTCTATTATGCAACTGTAAAAAATCATTTCATCTTGCCTTCTTTTGTTTTACAAGACCAGATTCCAAACTTTCCCTTTGCGCAGAAGATGATTATTAAGTTTTAAGAAGAATTGACGAAGGGGCATTAAGAATTACATGATACATTTTATGCAAACCTTACAAACCAGTGTTAAGTTTATGAAAAATGCCACTTGGCAGTTGCAACAATTTTATCTTCATTATTTTTTCTTTTGAGTTTTCTTTTTAATCTTTTTTGTGTTTATCTTTTAACTTTGTATTTTTAAAAAAAGTAAAACTATATCAAGCAACTATTTTCTATCTTCCTGTATGATTCAGGCATTCAAAGAAAAAATAGTTGATCTACCAGGAAAAATACTATCATCAATTAAAATAATCAAAAGTATGTAATGATTTGTACTTCCTAATCAATTACATTAGGAAGGATAATATGAAATATGAGAAAGGAACAAACTTTAAAAACTGCTTTGAAGTCATGAGGTTTATTCATTTTTTTGACTGACTAAAAATAAATGTATGAATCCTCTTTGATCCTAATTTCTAAATTGAGTAGTCTTATACAGTTTTGGAAGCAGGTAAAACTACTTTTATGGTTTTTTTTGGGGGGGGGGAGTTGCATGCTTAATTTTTATGTAAACAAACTTCGTATGCCAATTATTGGACTAAGTCTCACATTCTGTTTGCTGGAGCACGGATTACTATATTAAAGATTTTTTTATGGTTATGCCAACATGTTGCTGTCACATCCCCAGTCAGGCAGCCCATAGTTGCTCTTCCACTTTAGAAGTGGCGTTTTTTTTCTCCCAAGCAAAAGCTTGTCATAAGGGGTAATTTAAAGTGCCCTGGCTGTAAGTTTGGGGATACATAGATATGAATAGTCAACACTAAGTTCCAGTTGAACTGACAAGTCTGACCATCTTCACATGGTTGAGGAGCAATGGGAATCCGTGGTCATTTGACTTCGGTTATGAGGAATGAAATATTCCATTATTTTCTCTTGTTAAACACCAGGAGTTTGATTGACCAGGCAATCAGGAATTCTACTATCTGGTGCATAAGATATGTATACTGTATATTGGGATATAAAAAAGGGAGAAATGTTGAGACACACATACATATACATTTAAATAGGAAGAGGGAAATAAAAGGAACAAGTTCTTTCCTGGTGAAAAATAACACTGACCATGAAAAAAGGAAGAATCCTGCCAAAGCACAATGGCATTAAGCACTTTGGTTCAGGATTAATTCAAATCAACTCAGGCAGATTAGGGGCAGGAGTTATTTATCTCTCACACTCTAAAATGGGTGTCAAACTGGTGGCCCACAGACTGGATGTGTCACATGCAGGCCACGCCCATCCCAGCTCTGTGAAGGGAACAAATGTCACAATATGTCACATAATAGCAATGTGACACTGCGAGTTTGACACCTGTGCTCTAAGACAGCGGTCGCCAACCGTTGGGCCGTGAGAAAATTTTGGTGGGGCGCAGAGAAATGTCACCCCCAGAGCACCCCCACAAAGCAATTAATCCAGGTTGCGCAGAAACACAAGGCTGTGCCGCCCACATGGCCCATGGGAACCCTCCCCGCCCACTCACTCCTTACCCAGTAAACTTGCCTGCTAAATTGCTATTTGTCCTTTTTCCGACCATCCTCTGTTCTGCTGTGCTGGGAGATTTAGATTAGCTAGGAAGCAGGAAATGGTTGGATTTCTTGCTTTCTAGATAGTCTTTAGATCTTTGGCTCAGCACAGCCGAACCTCCCTTAGGACTGAAGGTTTGCTTGCAAGCAAATTCAGTGCAGACTCACGGCAAACAAATTTGAGAGATTGAGCTAGCTGATGGCAGATAGATCACTGAATGATTCCGTGAGCAACTCAATCTGCCTCCTTTGCCTGATTTTGGGTAAAAGTTGCTCTTTTTTTATAAAAAATTCAATATTTACATACATAGTGTGTTATGAGTTAATTTTGTGAGTTTGCTTGCTAACAAATTTTATGAGTTTGCTTGCAAGCAAATTTTATGTGACAGACTGACCTATGACAATGGCAGATAGATAGATCTCTGAATGAATCTGTAATTCTGTGAGCAACTCAATCTGCCTGTTTTGCCTGATTTGGGGTAAAAGTTGCTCTTTTTTTTACAAAAAATTCAATATTTATATAAATATTTATATTTACATACAAGCCATGCCCAGCCAGTCACATGACCACCAAGCCACACCCACAATTTAGGCCACGCCCACAGAACTGGTTAGTGGTCCCTGGGATCTAAAATTATGAGTTTGGTAGTCCCTGAGGTCCAAAAGGTTGGCGACCCCTGCTCTAAGAGTTGCGTTTCCATGTCCCTGCTGTAATCTGGATGACCTCTAGGTGGCAGTATGCTCAACACGGCACTTTAATAGTCATGTTAGAAACAGCCTGCAGCAGAAGGTAAAAATAAAGGCTAAATAAATTATAAAACAAAGGTTTGAACTCCCAATCTCACCCCACCAGAAGTTCAGGAGATCAGCCAGTGGTTGATTTTTCAGCCACCACATCACTGTCCTTAAATTGCCTTTAATTAAATTCTTTGAGGATAGCAAAACTTACAGTTTAAAAATGAAAGTAATTTATCACAAAATGTTGTTTCATATTTATTAGTCTCCCAAAATGTTTAAAATGGATAGTTATTAGGTTTTTAAAAATAGGTTTGTAATAAATTTTAAAATTCTTTAATACTATTTGGTGTTGTCCAATCATAGCCTTATTTTGATTTAAATTCTCTACATATGTAAACACAATTTTAGATAATCATAGTTAATGTGATTCTGAACTACATTCCTAAAACATGGAGTTTGTCATCTTAAGAAGAGCTTTGGCTCTGTCAAGGTTGGGGCACAACCAAGCGGATAATTTTACAGAATTGGAAATAAGCTTACTCTCTTAATTTTAAGAAATACCTCCCAGGATATGAGTATATCGTTTATTTTTGTAATGTCTCTGTAGGGTAGGATAAATGAAAATGGAAAAAAAAAATTCAACAACAATTTAACAAATGTTAATCTTTTATTTTGCCATGCTGGAAAGACAACATTGCAGCCTATCTTACTTATGTATATACAACTGCACCAGCAGATGGCAGTATATAATAAATTGTTCAGCACACATTGAACAGACTGGAATTCTGAAATCTCAATGATTTCATCCTACTTAGTCTTTAGTAAGATTATTTGCCTTCATGGTGGCAATAAATACATATACCACTCAATTTCTCAGTATGGAGATATTTACCAATGCTTCGCTCCTCTCTTTCATCCTTGCAGGCTAACAGTGTGTCCCTGGGATTTTCTGCCACTTATTTCAATTTGTAAAAATGCACAAAGCAATTTTGGAGATGGCAATTGGTATCCTCCCCATTCTACCTCCAAAACACTGATTGTTTATACATCCTCTTATCTCTAAGTAAGGGAAATAAACATTTTCCTCTCATTCAAAAGGAAAAGAATACATCAAATAGAAAACAAATGAAACCTTATTGGAGAAGTATTTTGTGTCATTATTTTATTATCAATATCAATGATAAACAATATAACTACTTTCTTGAAACCAGTACCTTTAGTAAATTTGTATTGGTATGATGCATTACAAGTTTTAAAAATTATTTTAAACCATACATTACAGCAATATTCATGACCCAGTTAAACAATATCTCTCGAAGTGATATCATATCAACAGGCTGAACTTCAAATAACTATTTCAACTTGAGTTTTTAAACTGTGAAAAACAGATAAATACAGAATCCCTTAGTGGTTTCAAACTTTTTTTTTACAAATAATAGTAAAGGTATGATCAGTATTATTTTTAAAAATGCTTTCATTCAGAATTAAACTTTATAATATAAAAATATTTAAAACAACAGATCAGATTCTATAGCATTCTTTCTCAGGGATAGTATTTTACTAACCAATAATAATAATAAGTTGAACTCTGATCCGGTCCTAGGTTGAAACTCAAACAAAGCTACAATTCAGTACTCACTACCCTGTTTCTCCAACAATACGGCCTCCCCCAATAGGAAGTCCCAGCATGTTTTATAGGCATGAAATGAAATTAAGCCCCTCCCCCCAAATTAAGGCCTATATTAAAACATGCGAAATTGGGGGGAAATGGCGGGGGGGCTTGCTGTTAGGAAGTACTTTTGTTGCACACCCGGATATGGTGCTGCCTGCGTTGACCCTGATACAAAGTGCCCCACCAACGCCGAGGTCAACATCCAAGCCGTCGCCGCCCGCCTGCCCGAAGATTCAAGGGGGGGGGGAATTAAGTCACCCCCGAAAAGACGGCCTAGCCATTTTTCGGGGCTCAAAAAAAAAATAAGACCCGGCCTTATTATATGAGAAACACGGTAGGAATAAAATCTTCACTGAATTGAGTAGTATATATATTACAGTAAGGAAGGTTTTTCCAATCTGAATATATTTCCCAGTAAATGTAATTATTAGCTTCAGTAGATAAGTTTATTCTGTGATACCTAATCAGATTGAAAAAAGAGATCTTTTTAAAAAATCAGCAGGTTTTATAAGTAGTTGTTTGCTTGCTAATTTACTAAATAGAAACGTTTCAGATCAGTCCTTCACCATATGTCTGACAATTGAAGGATTCCTTACACTGAAATATAGTGAGAAATCAATACTTTGGTAAAATAACTTTCAAGACACTGTCAATGGGCAAAGAGGGACAGAAAGTCAAAAAAGAGAATTCTTTTATCCATGTTAATGCCTCAGCAGTATTTTGTAACAAAATCAGTTTGTAATGGTCCAGACCAAAAAATCAATCATTCTGTACCAAAAATAAACAAGGCACTATAAACTCACGTGGATTCCAAGATAGTTGAAAATCTTGATTAAGCAAGAATCAGATTAATTATGATTGTGCTTAATACTGCAGCTGATACTGTGCTTAACTGTATTCAACTTGAAGAAGAAATCTGGTCAAAAAGAAAATGACTATGAGTACATAATATGGCAACATGCTCCTAACCTTTGGGTCACAATTGTGTGGCTCCTCAGTGAAGATTAGCCAGTTTTCAATAGCATACGAGCAGCATTTTCTTTGTGATTATACTGCTAGATACCTTTTCCCTAATTTTCAAAGGTATTGAATTAATTGTTTTTCTTAGTATAGGAAGCAATTGCAGTGTTAATTGCCAAAATTTTACAGTATTTTAGAACAGGAAATAGGCACTGTTAACATTTTAAGAACTGTACTTCCATAGGATACCAAGTGCTGAACACTGTGGTATTAAGAATCAAAGTGCTGCTTTGATCTTGGGGAGATATTGTGCAATAGAATTCAAAAAGAAAAAAAAGTGTAATGGACACAATACTCAAATAAGTTACTGTTCTTGCAAGAAACAGTCATTTTTAATATAATTCTTACTAGATTCCAATAAATCAAATTCTGATGTAAGATACAAGCTCTGCATCCAAACAAGAGACTAGTAATATCCTAGAAAATAATAACTGGCAGAAATGTTTATTAGGTTGGTTGAAAAAAAGCACAATGCAAATTGTGGAAAGAAAGAAAAGTGAAAATAGAAAAATGAAGAATAACTGAAGTGTGAAAATTTAGTCCGATCCACATGTAATGTGCACCTGATACAACCTACCACTCAATATCAACTTGCTAGTTTTAGATGCTATTTTGTTTACAACTGTTGTTTAATTAGTAGCTCACACTTACTGAAGTGTTTCTGCAACTGTGGTATTACAGGAATTAGGAACCTTGGATTATAGGTGCATGTTTTACTTAAAATGGTTATACACTCACACTTACAGCATTAGTTATATTTGAAAAGCAAGCAATATACTTAAAATATTAAATGACATTTCATTTGTTTTAAAACCAATACCTAAATGCAACACAATTCAAGAACAACAATAACATAGAACAATATTTGATATGAACATTTGGTATTAACTTCAGTTTACATTCATCCCATACAATAAAAATTACTTAGGTACTTAGTGCATTCAACATGACAGTGGAATGTTCTAATAGCCCCTTCTTCTCACAACCCTTGCTTCTGTATTTCAGCCATTTAAAATATGTTTTCAACATAACTCCTAACTGAAGGCTTGTATTAGAAAGTTTGACACAAGGGCAAAATTTTTATTTTAGCAATATGTTTCAAAATGGTTCAAAATACAAAATAACTTATTTAGAACATCTGTCAAATAGCATTCAACATATGTGCAAACTTGCCTTTGAAAAGAGACAAAAAAAAGATGAGTAGCTTTGGTACAGCTACTGGTATGTATATTGGTATTTTTAAAATATAAATTAGATAAAAATAAGCATCTTCATGGCTATGAAGTTAAGACTATGAAGTTGTTCTTGAATTTGTTGCACGAAGTGCTAGGCTTGCAACCGATCTCATCGCACACATAGAAATCTTGTGACAAACCCCAGCATTTGAAATATAATTGGAAGCTAAACGATACAGTCGTTCAGATCCAAATGTGTTAAAATGCCCTGGAAGGACTTTCTCCACAAGGCCCCTATTGACTAAGTCTATTAATCGCTGGCAGGTTGTAACGTAGTCATTTATCCGGCTGTAGGGAAGCCAGTCAATCATTGAGCCATCATACACAACATCCCCACTGAACAGAATCTTCCGTTCTCTGTCATGCAAACAAATGCTTCCTCTCGAATGGCCAGGCATGTGCATGACAGTGAGCTGTCTATCACCAAGGCTGATCACATCTCCTACAACAAGAAACAAAATTTTATGGACAAAACAATTTTCAAAAATGCAACCTTACATTTGTCTCTGTTACAAACTCATGCATTAAAACTGTAACTGCAACCAATCAATGCAGGAAAACATATATTACTCTTCTGCCCCCCCTTGACAAAGATGGAAGCCCACACGCAGTAGGAAGGATTCTGTGAGCATGAACTTACCTTAGTTTATGGTTCAGGTAAAAGGGGGATAAAATCTGATTTTTAAAGGTATTCTCCAGTCACATCAGCAGATGAGCACCAACATAGCCAAGCTATAGCCTATTTCGGAGTCTCACAATTTTAAGACATGTTGACTTCCCCAACCTTAAAGCTGCCAGGATTGTGAAACACTAAGCAAACAAAGCCATCCCATCATATCATGCATGTTTAATTTCATCTTGATTTCTCATAATGATTTCTATGAGTTCTATTAGACTGAACAGCTTGTATTTTTCCTAGCTCTGCTCTTTTCCATTGCCTCCAACTGACAGCCAATTGCCTCTAGCTGCACTCTCCTTGTTCATTATAAAAGAAAACAACTGTCAACTTGAAGCCTATCTCTCCCAGAAGGCATAAGTAAGGAATCTACAATTGACTGAAGATCAAATCACAATAGTAATATCTGGGTTGCGGTCTACAATATTTAGTTGCATCAGTTCACTCAGTATTACTCACAAAACACAAAGTTTATTGAACATAAGAAGCAGATTATCTGGACTCCTTTCAATTAGGATATAGGCCTGGGTATGGAATTAAAACTTGATGACCCCTAAGAAGGGTAGGATGGAAAGAGTATAATTATACTACTCCTGCTGGATTTGTGAGTGGCCTTCAATACTATATAACATGATATCTCCCTGCAATTACCGTGTTTAGACATTTTGCTGTGAGAATTATGAGAAATACTGTATTCTGGGTCAGTTCCCACAGTGGTACTGGCATAAGTCAGGACCTTGGCTTCTGGATTGCGGCATAGCTCAGCTGTCTTCCACCTATAATTTAAATCTACCTGAAGCTCCTGGGAAAGATCATCTGCCAAAATGAAGTGAGATATCATCAAATATGCTGAAAATGTTCAATTACATATTTTCCATCTGAATTTGGGCAACATATGTGGCAGAGGTCCTAATTCAGTGATTGGAGGTTGTTAGGATATGGATATGAGAAACAATTTGAACTGAATTCTATCAAGGTACTGTGGACCTAGAGGATGACTTCGTCTATTTTACTTTGTTCAACTTTGTTCCTGGATATGATAAATGTTTTCCCATATGGAGTTGACTTATAATCTGTGGTTCAACATGGAATGACAATCCAGCTTGAACAGTAAATGGAGACATAGCAAGACAATCAGTTACAATGGCTGGGTGTAGCCTTTTTTTTAACACAGGAGGCTTTATTCACAATTATTTATGAACCTCGAAGCTGGATTTTTGTTATGTAAAATGCATGGAATTGCCCTTGTAGATCATTTTGAAGCTTCACGTGGTACAATTTGCAAAAACCCAATTAGTTAGCTGCATTCAGGTTCACTCATGTATTATTACTACTACAGGCTGTACTGGCTGCCAATGAGTTTCAAAATGCAATTCAATATGCTGACTGTCATCCTTAAAGCCCTAAATGATTCAGGGACTGAATATTGTGTTACTACAACCTCTGAGTTCCTATAAGGCCTGGGAATGAGGATTTACTAGGGTCCTGCTACCAAGGGAATGCCCTCTTTATAGAACCTAGACCAAGTGATGTTCCCCTTCCTTTGTAATATCCAAATCACATCAGAAAAACATTTAAATCCAAGTCAAGAAAATTACTAATCATTTTGACATTCAATGAGCTAAAACTACTGGCTGCTTGAACTAATTTCACAAGATTTCTTAGTCATTTGTTCTTCATCTCAGAAAACATTTTTTCTTCAAAGTAGAAATTACAGTCCCAAGGCTTTATTGTGCCTAGTACAAAGGGATGTGTATACATACATACACACATACACACATACATACATACATACATACGTGTCTATTAGTCTGATTATTTTTATTCAGTTTACGGATTATATTTTCTCCTACCTATTCTATCCTTTCTCTCTGATAAACCAATATATTTAAAGCATTTAGTATTATAGTAATATACAAACAAAAATTTATTATTAAAGGTAGCTAATTTATCATGCCTCTTTCTCAACAGAAAATACTTTGAACAGGGAAAATAAAGTTTCAAATTAAGATTCTTTCTGGCCATTTTTAGATATATTGCAGTTTTCAGTACATAAGCATTGAAAACTAATACCATTTGCAAGTAGACTCAGAATCTAATGTTCCAACTGTGGACATTTCTTCATAAAACATGGATTATATAGGTGGAAATTAAATTATGAGTTGGAAATTAAATTCTGTCTCCTTCCTCTTTCCCTTAATACAGCTTTAGTTCTATTACCCTGCCTTAAACCACAGATCTTCATTGTATCCAAAATATATTACTGTATTGAATCAGTCAGCTAGCTTACTGACTGAGATACTGTCACAATCTACAGTATTTTATCAAGTTCATATGCCATAATTTAGAAATTTAGAAATTCATATCCTAATCAAGTTACTATGCATTTCTTCTTGTACAAGTTGTTCTATGGGTGCTTCAGCGGACCCAAACAAACGAAAACAAATTAAGAGCAAAAGTACTGTTCATTCTGAAGCAAGCCCCTTAATTCTACAGCAAAGAATTAATGCTCATAATTGCTCAGTGGCTCAGGAAATAAAGCGATCAAAGAAATGAAGAGATCTACATTTACAATACCAGCAGCAATAACATTTTATATTTATGGTTTAGCATAAATATATGCTAATATATTGGTTTAGCATAAATATATGCTAGTAACAATATCTATTACTGATATTGTTTTAATTGTTGCTTAAGGACTCAGCCGAGGTTTGATATAAAATGAGCAGCCATACAAATGTTATTAAAATATATGAATAAATAAGTGTGCATCACCTGGAAATGTAAGCAGACAGATTGTGAATGCATATGTCCCTCTAATCTTTATGAAATGACTTTCTATCTGAGCTTTTCTTGCAATTCTTTTTATTGGCTGACTCACCATCTTTGAGAATGCCATCTTCCCAGAAAAGATATGATATATAATTTCAACTAGTTAAAGCATAACAGATATTTTGTCTATTTTCAATATTAATGGATCTCCATAAAAAGTCAAGATGGAAAAATTACTTCAATATACATAGTGGTAACCAACAGCTTGTGTAACATAGTCCTAACCGTAATCTATTATGCGTTTTAATGTTCAATTAACAAGAATGGTCAACAGACCCATTAATATTTCTTTGGATATACTTACATTTCACAGATATTATGATTCAAGTCTCCCCAAGATATTTGCTTACATATGTAAAAGCTAAAGTATGTGCAAAGTGGGAACAAAGTATGTATCCCACCATTGAAATACTGTTCTTTTTTCAAATATGGTACAAAATGGTTTAAAATTAGTGTGTGCCCCGAGATAATTTTAATAACGCATTGTAGTGTTCAGATGCATGAATCTGTTCATACTTACTACTGATAATATCTACTGATGTAGATGTTTATTTATACATGAAAACACTAAAACAGTAATAGAATCTAAGATGTCCTTGAGCCCTACCTCCATATCTCTAGGATTCTCTAATGGCCCTTAAACATTCAGTGATTATATTTGAAAAGAAATTCTAAGTAAAAGTGAAGATGTAATCGGGTTTTTTTAGAATAGCCTACACTTCTAGAGACACTGAAGGTTGTACTTCCATTAACTTATACTTTTGAACTATCACATCTGTGTAAGATTACCTGCACTTGTTAAAATAGCAATCATGGATATATTAACGTAACTCAAGTACTAAAAGCATGGAAATTTGTAAGAGGAAAAGAATTTTTTTGGGGGGGGAAATAAAGGAATGTAATCTATGATGACTTGACTCAAACTCCACCATGTAGATACAGGTAGTCCTCAATTTACAACAGTTCATTTTGTGACCAAAGTTACAAGGGCACTGAAAAAAAGTGACTTGTGACCAATTTTTCACACTTACAACCTTACCAGCATCGCCACAATCATGTGATCAAAATTCAGATGCCTGGCAATTAGTTCATATTTATGACTTTGCTGTGTTCCAAGATCATGTCATCTCTTTTTTATGACCTTCTGATAAACAAAGCCAATGGGAAAGCCAGATTCACTTAAAAAATGGGTTGCTAACTTATCAACTGCAGTGATTCATTTAACAACTGAGACAAGAAAGGTCACAAAATGGGGCAAAATTCACTTTAATATGACTCAGGTAACAATGGAAATTTGGGGTTCGATTGTGGTTGTTAAGTCGAGGACTATCTGTACTTGGATGCGACCTTGTGATACAAATATATAAAGGGAAAGGGTTGGTGTCATGTTACTACATACATTCATAATTTTGGCATCATAATTAAAAACAGATGCCTATGATTACAAATGCACTGTTAGCAGTAATTTAGGCAAAATAAAGATGTTTCTAAATCAATTACGAGTAAATGGTTGAAGCTTCATGGCAGAGCACTTGTGCTCAAACAGAGATATCCATATTGAACCCACAATATATCCTAGTAGTCCTGGAAAACCTTTTAGAACAACTGTTGGTTTCAAGATAAAAATGAAAAAGGTGGATCAAAGATATAATGCAGTTTTCTGCAATTTTACATTAAACATAATTAAGGTGGATTACAAATAAGAAAATATCATCAAAAAGCCATAAGATTTTTGCTCCCAAATTCCAGCACATTTTATAATCCCTGAAAAATTAATCTGTCCACAGATAAACAGAAATATAGCTAGGAGCATATTAAAAGTGAAATCTAAAATAACAGGTGTAATGAGGCAAATGAAAAGATTCAGATGATCAATCTAATTTGGATTATGTCTCTATCGTTTTTCGTGCCTATTTTATAATTTAGATATTAAACATGCGAACTGAACTGTTAGTAATATGTTTTGGGTTGTAACATGTGAAACACTTAATTGGAGGAAGCTTGCATAAGAAGTTAGTCCTAGGTTATAATCAGTGGATACTATTAAAGGATTTTGGTTGCATTTTTTAAATATAACCAGCTGTTGATAGAATTGCATAGTGGACAGAGACTAAAGAAGATGCTGAAAAAAATCTCACAAAATGAAGATCTATTATTTATTATCAAAATATTACACAGACACACACACACACACACATACACAGTGTACAGCACAAATATTTGATGGATAAATGTTCAAAACTCATTGTTCATAGCAATGTTACTACTTGGCAAAATTATATTCCTGGACATTTTTCCTTGGCTGATATGATTATCCTTTTTTTCACCCCACAAGAGATGCCCTAGAGAAGCACAAAGTATTAAGAGTCTTAGTAAAATGCTCTATCATGTGCTCAAGAGGTTCCCACCCTAACCTTTCTTACAGACTCTGACAGTGCAGTCACAGTTATATGACCTTTACGAGGCAGACACACAATTTCAATGGCCTGTGCATGGATTTTACAAAGATGCTCTCTACATGTCTTTCCACCTGATAATTTCAACATCATAGATGAAAAATGCATTTAACTTACACGTTTTTTTCTTTAAGAAACCAATAACACTGATCTGTTTCTGTGGTCCCTTCTATAATCTCCTTTTAAAACATTTTATAAAAGTACAGGGATCATATAATTCTGTTTTTCATTCCTATTCCACTCCCACTCCTCATGTTTTCCTTCTCTTTTCCTTATATATCTATTTCCTAGTAATTTCAAATCTTGGGAGAATTCCTCTACCCTTTGCCATACCCAAAGAACTGAAGCTATAAACACAGACTACTTTCCTTGTATCACCAGAAATTCCCTCCCTTTTACACTTTGCTACTGAAATAGCATAATACACCTTTCCCGTGCCTTATTCTGTATTCCAGACCAAGGAACATTAGGGTTAAAAATCCATCTGCCTCCATCACTGTACCTTTATGAATTATTAGTACCTTCACTACAGACACTGCACAAAAAAAAAACAGAACTTTCCGTTTTCATGTCACCCTCTCACAAGGCTCGGGACAATGCTGTTGCATTTTTGGATAGGCAAATGATAATAATACCCCTTATTTATTTTCAGTAACGGAACAGAAAAGTTGCTGGATTCCAACAGCCCCTAATCCAGTTCAGGAGCAACCCAGCAGGCACGTTCAATACAGAAATAATGCCGATGATACTCAACCCTGCCTGGTGTGAGTCCGTCCAATTTATTCTGACCTATCAGATATTAAAGAAAGCAGAATGCTGCAGGTGGCCAGAGACTCTTTCTCACAGGATGTTTTTTGAAGTAATAAAAAAGGAGGGGAAAGAAAATGATAAAATCACTCCTCCAAATTTATTATATTGCGTGCAAGAAATCACCCAGCCTGGTGCTTAAAGAAATAATTAATCTTTGAAATCATTTACATAGGCATCCTTTCATGACTTGGATCAGAAAGCAGCTCATAAAAGAGAGCGTTCATCAATTCAAGACTGTACACCTGGTCACAACAGCTCGGTGCAGTTGCGGGTGTGGGAGCTGCCTGTCCTGCTCCAGAAAGGTGCCTCCAAAATGAGATGCGGGTCTCCCTTGCCAGCCCACTGCCCTCTCCCTCCCTCCCTCCCTCCTCGCTCTTACCCTCCTGCAAGACGTGCGTCGGCTGGACGGGTCGCACTCGAAACTGCCTGGCCCTCCAGCCGGGGCTGGGCTGCCTCACCACCTCGCTGTCCGAGAGCCAAGTGACGGTCTCGTAGTTATCGCCGCGTCGCAGAGCTCCGGCCTCGGCGCTGTGCACGGCCACCTCCTCGAACTGGTGCAGTCCGCCCGAGTGGTCGAAGTGCACATGGGTGGCGATGGCTAGCAACGGCCGCCGCCGCCGCCCACTGCTCGCGGGTTCCTTCGCTGCTTCGACGAGACCGCCTCCCTCCTGGTCGCCCTGAGCCGGATCGGGATCCAAAAGCCCAGCCAAGTGAAGGTACTCGGGGAGGCTGCGCAGCCCCAGCCCCGTGTCGATCACCACGTCCCGCTGGGAGCCGCGCACCAGCCAGATATTGGCCCGATTGCCCGACTCGTAGAAGCGCTCTTGGATCCAGTAAATACCTCCGCCCAGAGACTTATGCGCGAACCACTCCAGCGCCGACATCACAGCCGGCCGCCAAACGAAACGCTGCGGCCAGACGACCCGTCTCCTGCCTGCGGTGTTTGGGCTAGGATCGCGCGTTGCGAACGGCCCGGACGCGCAACTTAGACCAGGAGGAGGGCGGATCCAGGAGGAGGAGCTGGAGGCGGGGACTGAATCACCAGCTTCACAGCGTAACCCGACTCGGCTTATCGGGTGGTGCCCACCCGGCTCTTTCCCACTGCAGTAACGCGTCAGAATGAATGAAGGAGGGTCGGGGGGGAGAGCTGAGGGAAGGCGGGTTTGCCTTGGAAGGGGATGCGGTTACACGTGGGGATTGCTTGCGAGACTGAAGATGCGGCTACATGACAGCTGATACAGCAAAAGTGCTCTGAGTTGTGCTAAAGAAAATGCAAGTCTTTCTTACTTGTGTTCCTTAAGTGCAGTATTTTTAGGAAGGGATCTGGGTAAAAAAAAACAAAAAAACGGGTCCTTGACCTCTTGGGTTTTCTGGATTTCGTAGGATTTTTTGATGGGATCTGCATGAAACCCGTTTGTCTGGTTATTATACAAAAGCATAGGTGATTTTCAGATCCTCTGTCTCGTGCTAGGTTTGGTGGGATATAAAGAACACAAGTCCTGTCCCGGAATTAAGCATTGCATCCCTTGAGCTCAGAAACTGCAATAAATGCAATACTATTTGGATTTTAAAGAGCCCCCCTCCATTGCCCATCTCTGATTAAATTCAGTACCTCCCCTTAGAACAGGGACAGACAAAGAAATTAATGTTTACTACTGTCCTACAGATGTCAGATGCTGCTGCACAACTCTGTGTTGAAAAGGAATTACTACCAAGGTAAAAAAAAGAAAAGCTACATAAAACTGGCTGGAGTGATCCAGCATTTTATTAAACAGTAGAAAAAAAAACTGAAAAGAGTGCGGTAGTGTTATGGCAGCATTTTAAAGGTACACCCAACATTGCAGGTATTACAGCATTCAGAAGCTGATCCAAAATACATTCGGGACTTCTGCATTCTGGAGTAGTTTCTGAACACTGTTCAGGACAACCCTAAATCCAGTGCAATAGTGTGTGTTGCACCAGAACTGGGAAGGGACTAAGGCATGAGTGACCCTGAGTGCAATCTTGCATTCTAGGGATGGATGTAGTTGCTGTACGGGATGCTTTTATATAAAAGGGCTACTAACTATAGCTGGCCCCTGCTCCTCAAGCAGGAACTGTGAGTCCACAAAGATCCCTAAATTGTCAGAAGAATTGCATCCCCATCCAGATTCAGAAATGGGAATACTCTAGTCTTGCAAAGTTCTACAACCTAATGTCTCTCTGTCTTGCTAAGACTGAGTTCAGTTAGTGGGAAAGACCCTTGACAATACCATTTGGCTCTAAAGACACTGCTGTATCATCAGCAAACTGATTGTATTTAATGCTCTGCTGATGGATGGCTCACCCAATAGCTTCATATAGATGCTAAATAGTGGTGAGGAGAGAGTCAAGGCTCTGAGGTGTCCCACAGTCCTTATGGCCATACTTTCCGTGCCTGCAACACTGACTGGAAGGCCCTATTTGGCTGAACTGCCCCAGGATCAACTGGTTTTCAGAGGGTGTTTGCAGAATTTCTCAAGGCTTTTCTTCAAACTTGACTGAAACTGGACTCACACTTTTGAATGAGAGGGTGACAATGACTTCAGATTGGATTGACTCCATACACCCTCTTTCTGTCTGTGGACCCTCGTGGATTTGGTAGCTTTTAGAAAAGCTCAAGATGAAACAACAGGGTTGAAAATGAAGATGAGTCTGAAGAAACACATATTAGAGTCCATATTAAGGACTACATCAAGGCAAGAAGAGTGGCAAAACTTTATTTTTCCATTGTTATTTTATCTACAGAATGCCAGCCAGTGGTATTCTTTAAAATGACTGTCATTACTGACCAAAGAACAGGCAGAGAAGCATCTCTAGGGATCCTATGAGGATTGTTCTAGACATCTGACAGGTGAAATTGCTCAGATCATATTCCAATTATATGTCCTATATAATTGCTGATTGAACCACTGTTTTGTATGACTTAACTGTAGTCTGAGTCCCCTTCCTCACTTGAGGAAATGGAGAGGACCCTCAGGTTCTGCATGTGCTTATTGATTAAAGCCTCTCTAGGAATATGATTGAATACAAGCAGCAGTGAATTTATCAAACCACTAGTTTTACCAGCCTAAAGGGAGGTAATTGTCTCAAGAAATCATCCCTAGGTTTAGTGTGTTGGATAATTTCTGACCTATCTACAACCTCCTCTTGAATTAATGCATCATGACTTTTATCATGCAAATTACATAAATATGTAATTTGTCAATCACATCACAGAAATTACATACTTAATGTCATTTGTTCAAAGGCCCAGTGGTGCATGTCAGGTTATCATGCCTTCTGTTGGTTATCTATGGACTATGTCATTCAGTAGTATTTATCATTCAAAAGGAAGAGATAATTATCTCAAGTTAATGCATCAAGCTAAACACTAGAGATTGTAAGCCCAGGGCACGCATTTCCTTTTTGTTTACTATAAAGAAATCAGACATTCACTTCTACCCTCACCAGTACAATATATAGTGAATTATTTTGGATATCATGCTGACATTCTTCAGTCTATCAGTATAATGGAGATTTTTTCAGTTATAAGACATGAGTTGAGATTCCTACTACAAATATTTTTTTTCTTTTAGCCTTAGCATTGAATATTGAACTTCCATAAGATTGATAAATCTCATAGGTAGAAATCCTGCTATGTAGCAAATATGTCTGTGTGCTGGTGAGATCATGATGAAGGGAAAGTACACATGCATATGTAACCCCAAACATGGAGTAAGGGAGTAAAGTGGCTCTTTGTGTGACCAAAACCAGAAACTGAGTTGAAAGAAAAAGTTAGAGGTACTACTATTCAGAGTAATCCCTGGTTTAGGCTTTTCCACTTTGTATTTCAAAGCACCTCTTCTGATCACATTTTGTGTGGAAGCTTTTGTTAATGTACCACTCTTATTTTCCTGACAAACTTGTCAGTTTCCTTTGATAATCTGGATGATTTGGGGGGAATAATTTCATATGATTAGCACTCAGTAAAATAACAAACATGGCTAAACAAATAAATCATAAAAATTAAGACTTGAATCCCTAATCCTGCCACAAATTCAGAAAAGCAACTGGGGTTTAGTTTTCTTACCAGTAGGGGATGCTGCAGAGGAGTGGATAGGACAGCAAGGAATCCATAGCCCTGCTATAAAACTACTTGCATTAAATTGTGATTGCAGGAACACAGCCAGGCCTAAAAGTAGGTTATAGGAAATGTTGTAATGTCAATGTGCTTTCCCTCAACTTATTCAATTTAAATATCAGAAGATGTAGAGTAAGAAAAGGAGATATAAAGTGATACTTTCCATAAGGGGTTGAAATTAGTTCAAGAGCCAAAGGTTGCCCAATAGTGTATGTTCAGGCAATTCTGAATGGGGCTCACATGGTTTGCCCAAACTATGTATAGTAATTAGACTTGGCACAGGCCTTCCACACTGAACAATAGGTGTTTTTAAAACAGCCATGCCACTGTCATATTTTATGGGAAAGCCATTGTCAATTTCATCTTTCAACTACAAAATCTGATAGTTTGCCAAAAAATTAAGACTTCTTGAAAATTTCCCACCTCCAATACAACTGCATAATAGACATGACAACTCTGAATATCAGCACACCTTAGATAAATCCTAGGATGCAAGTGGAAAAATATTCTTGAAGTATATGAGGGGTTATATATTCTACGGAATCACAATATTTTGTAAACCTTTTAATAATTCTAGGTAGCTAGAATAAACCTCAATCCCCCTTTGCATAATTCAGTGAGATAAAACAATAGAGTATTTCTATGTATATTTCTATCTGAACTGTACTTGATTTTAGTGCATTTTTTTCTTGAGAAGAGTTTATTGTTTAAACTCTTTATATAAGAATGTATAGTTTACAATTCACAAGCTTTTAGACTTTATGGAATAAGTATATGACACAATTCATTACTAAATTATGTATTCTACAATTCATATGCTTGATTCATCACTCAAAACAGAATTAGAAATATATATGTATTTATTTATATTCTTTTTGAAATAATACTCTGGCCAAAGGCCTTTTGATAAATTCTGAAACTTACATAAACATCATTTTGTGAAAACATTTTTTCCAAATGACAATTAAAACTATTTCATATGCTTCAGTTATGTAGTATACTTACAAATCTGATATTCTGAACTTAATTGCTTTGTTTTAGTGGAATGTCTTAATTCAGTACTCCAAGTTTTTCCTTTAACTTCATGTTATCTTTTCATAGTCTTTCCAATCCTTCACATGATGAAAATGTACTTTGGGAAAGATAAAAACATACAGCAACACTGCATAAGGAATTATAGCTTACACATTCTTAACCTTAATTTAAAAATGGACTTGTTCGCAAAATTTTTATGAAGAAATCTTTCATTCCATAAGTATACTACTTATTCATGAAACACTATAGATTAATATTTTTCAGTTGTAGAAATAAGGCACAACTCCTGAGCTATGATAAAACCCATTTAACCTATACTTGTACTGAATCTTCCTTTAATATTTTTTAATTCAAGTTATAAGAAAAAAATGTAGCATACTTGAGGTACTCAACTTCTGGTGCTTCAAAGAGTGTAGATGGTTGGAAAATCTTACTATATGCTACACTTTCATTTTTATGGCATAGAGATCTTTAAAATAGTCTTGCACGGCTTATTATTTTCTTTGTTTTCTAGTTCTATACTTGACCTTCTAATGCATTCATGTGCCAATTGTAGAACATGTCTTTAAATTTTCATATTTTACTAGTTGCAAGCAAGCAAATTTTCACTAGTTGCAAGCAAAGAAATATTTGTATTTCTTTGCTTGCAACTAGTCATATGCTAAAATGAAAAGAGTTCACATTTTCCCTCTTAAATATGCATTGTAGTACAGTTCCAATAATGCCCTAACAAACAATAGGCTTGCTTTCCAAAATAATATTGATTAGGTAGGCCTAATGCAGGAAGGGCCCGAATGGGTGAAAAACAATACAAAAGCTCCAAATTAGAGGAAGATTCAAGAAGGAAATAAGCCACTAATATTGCATTTGTTTAATGGAAGGAATTAATGTATTTTTATATATTTTGTTTGGCTGCCATAATCTATGTCTTATCCATGTACAGAATTAGCTTTATAAAGTGCACTAAACCCATAGCTGCTGAACCATGGTTTTCTACTTAAAAAAAAATAACTAGCAGACGAAGAAAAATTTTTATTTTAAATATCCCAATGGTTAGGTTAAAATAATATACCAAACGAAAGCCCAAGTACTTAATGGCTTAGCACAATACTCAGCTCAACTGTACATGTGATATATTAGGGGCAATGGATTGTTTAACCTCCAAAATGTCATTGTTATGATTTAGGAAGAAATCTGATGTCATATTATTGGTCCTGGTTTCCTGCAAGTAGCTAGTACCCTTTCCCTTTAATTCTAAATCATTTATAAAAGAGGGAGTTTGTGCAAACTGCTTGTGTACAGTAAACAGGTCTTCTGCATTTGACGATATGCAATACTATATAATGCAACAAGCACTTTGGGAATAAAGAAGTTTAAAGAATGTGAGATTCTTTCACCTTTTTTCTGTTTAAGTTTCCATTCTTTGAAAGTCATTGCAGTTAGAACAAATGAATCATATGAATCATTGGTTCCTTTTAATTATATAGTGCTCTTCAAATAATTCAAACTGATTATCTTGTTCAGCAATACCAAGCAGTCTGCTTGTTCACTAACTCCAATAAACCAAACTATCCCTAATTCCATGTACTGTGATAGAAGGTATTATTGCTTGATATACATAGAATCTCCATACCATTAAAGCCAGACTAAACATTTTTAAAGTAAATATGAAGCTTACTGTAAAGATACTTCACTTAAATTGGTTTCAGTCCTATTAATTTCAATGGCAGAGTGGTAGGTTAAATCCATATATTTTGGCGGATCCAGATAAACTTTTAATTCTTCAATATATTGACAACTTTTCCACAAACACAGTATATTACCATTAGAAATAGCCACTTTACAGTTCCACTCAGAACACGTTCATGCTTCTTTGCAGTACACATGGCAAGAATGCTCAGACATTTAGCATGTAAAACCAAAACTTAATCTTCAAGAAATAGGCTGCTTTATCTCATTTTCTAATGGCTTTGACTGAGATGGTGCAACTAATGAATATTCCACTGTAGAATGATGACTGACATCCACTTTGACCAAAACTTCATAGTATAAAAGATAAAAAACAGGTGTTATAATGCCTACTACTACCATTATTACCACTGCTGTCCACCATCCAATCCCCCAGTCTGCACCATAATAAGGATCTTTCTGTCTGATAGGTTTACCATCTAGATCAAAGTTCAATTGTTGGGTTGATAAAGCAGAAACAACTTCATTAAGATTTTCTCTTTTGGTAGCATTGCACTTCACTATTTGTTCTATATCACGGTCCACTTCTTTCAAAAAGTTACCAGCTGTTTCAGTAGATGAGAACTCAGGTGCTAGTGATGAATCTGAGAATTCTGTGGAATATGATGAGGCGGCAGATCTTGAATTCTGTCTATTTTTTGGAAAACAGTGTGTCTCCGTCAGAAGGCTGAACTTTTTAACTGGAATTTTAATAGTTCTTAATGCAAAGAAGTCCTGATCCGTGATAAGATTGTTCACCCGTTTGATATCTGCTACCTGAAATGTTATAATAAAATAAATTAGCTTTATTTAAAAAGTTAACTGAATCACTCCTGTTCCTTCAACTCGTTTTTAAAAAAGAGCCTGCTCTCTTCTCTCAATACTGATACAAAGTCGTGCTTTCAATATCAAACGAAATTATATCAAATAGTCAAACTGCATATTAGTGTTCACATGGCTAGCTCTACTTTTACAAAACATTTTTTTATTCCAGGAGAATGAATTCTCTTGAAGATCAAAAGTGCTGGTTCATTGATTTTGGCTTAACCATTGAACAAGGACAATCCAAGTGAATCACATAACCTCTTATCTGGTGAAACACGTTATGTCATAGCCTTAGTGCCGGTACTTTTTTGCTTTCATCAAAGAACAAAGATATGTCACTATCTGAAAATTAGTCATTGTGCTATATGAATAAGAGCTCAAGAAAGATTTGAGGTTACCAACAATAACAAGTACCTGTTCTCCTTAGCTAAAAGCTATTTTGAAGTTGTTTTTTTCTTTTAAAAAAAATAACCAGAAGACAGAAGGGATAAATCATCAATTCCAGCTACTTCACAACTATGGGAAATGGATCTTCTAAAATAATCAGGATGTGGATGTTTGTTCAGGACTGGTTCTTAACATGTATGTTGTTATTCATTTGATTTTGGCTCAGCGTATAGTATGAAACAAACTGTGAATCAAGGTTAAAATTAATGACTGAATAAAATGCCTAAACAATAACAATTAATCATAGTTAGGCAAACCATGGCTTGAAACAATGCCAATCAGAGTCATTGTTTTAAAGTACTACACAAATATAATATTCCATATGCATCCATTCTAAATGCATTTAGTAAACTAATACTATCAAACAAAAATTACTAAATATAAGAAAGCCATTTGAATATGGCCGTAACCTGCACAAGTATTAGTCTGCAGTAAAATTATTTGATCCTATATATCTTGCACTCCATTTTTCATAGTTTAAAATCAATTTAATTGTAATTAAAATTACAATATTTTATACAAAAATTCTGGCTAATTATTTGTACAAATATAAATATACCATACATATACATGTATGACCAAGAAAAATATTATTCATATACACACATATATACAAATATATACATATACATACACACATGCATTGACCACTAAGAGAAATACTTTATAACTGATGTCAAACTCGCAACAATATGTTGTTGTCCCGTGACATATTGCAACTTTTTCCCCCTTTGCTAAACTGGGGGTGGGCCTGGTCAGCGCGTGACACATCTGGCCCGTGGCCTGTGAGTTTGATGCCCCTGCTTTAGAACATGAGGACAGGAACAAAACTCTTTTTTTGCCATTTTTTAATGCAGTCATTTCATTTCTTGGAAATTCATGGTTGTCTTTTACAGTTATTACACTGAAGCTAAAGACATGAGATGGGTGCTACCTCTGATACCTTCATGCATTCCAAAGCAGAGGTCTCCAGCCTTTTGGACCTCAGGGACCACCAAACTCATAATTTTAAATCCCAGGGACCACTAATATAATCTTTGACTGACAGCGGCTTGCTGACATTGGTGGGAGAGATCTGATCTAACCCCTCTCTCTCTCCCTCACACACAAACACAAAGAGGCAGGGGATTCAAATGTCTTAACAACCGGTTCTGTGGGTGTGGCCTAATTTGTGGGTGTGGCTTGGTGGTCATGTGACTGGCTGGGGATGGTTTGTATATAAATATTATAAATATTTATGTAAATATTGATTTTTTAATTTAAAAAAAGCAACTTTTACCCAAAATCAGGTAAAGTAGGCAGGCAGATTGAGTTGCTCACAGAATCACAGATTCATTCAGAGATCTGTCTATCTGCCATCGGCTACCTGAGTCTGTCATATAAAATTTGCTTGCAGTGAGTCTGCACTGAATAATAGAAGCTTCAGTCCTAAGGAAGGTTTGTCTCTGCTTAAAAGCAGAGACAAAGATCTAAAGACTAGCTAAAAAGCAAGAAATGCAACGATTTCCTGCTTTCTAGCTAATCTAAATCTCCCGGCACAGCACAACAGCTGATGGTCGGGGAGGGGGGAGGAAAAATAGCAACTTAGCAGGCAAGTTTGCCAGGTAAGGAGTGAATGGGCGGGGAGGGTCCCCGCAGGCCATGTGGGCCGCGCAGCTTTGTGTTCCCACGCAGCCTGGATTAATTGCTTTGGGGGGGTGCTCTGGGGGTGACATTTCTCTGTGGACCACCAAAATTTTCTCACAGCCCACCAGTGGCAGTTTGCGACTGCTGTTCCAAAGCATTCTATTTTCCTTTCAGTTTAAAATTATACACAGGACTAAAAATTATTCTAGCTGTATTCAACACTCTTCAAAAGCACACAGCACCATTTTATTATTTATCAGGCATCTGATTTGAGGTAGTAATAGTGTTGTATAATATTTCCTATTATTATTTTTAAAGTACCTTATGTATCCAAAAAACTAATTTTTGATAGTCTTAATTTTCGCTCCCCCCAAAATGCTAATTTTTTGGTAAGTTTAATAAAATTATTTTGAGTACCCACTCCCTTAATTCTGCTCATCTCCTCAGGTAGTATCAACAGACACTGTCACTATTAAAGTCCAACAAATAAAATATTATCACACCTGGAGGAAAGTTGACTTTGTATGAATAAAAATAAAGAATTCTAATCCCATACAATCCTCTAACTTTTGGAATTTTCTATATAAATTTCATAAAATATTGTTAGAGAAGAAAAATATTGAAATTTTAGCAATTACCAAAACCAAAATTAACTTTGAAAAACCACAGGCTTCTAGTTGACAAACATATACTGCATATTTGTACAATCCATAATCTAATAAGTAATCTTTCAAACTGTTTTTTTGCATTATTTTATTTAAAAGCATTCTACATTTATATGTCTCTAACATATGATACAATTGTATGGAACTAGAAAAAGATAAACTTACTGAACAACTATACTGAAGAGCTAATGCATTTAGTGTATCTCCTTCTTGTATATCTTTAGTTATAAATACAATATCATCCATTCTTTCTCTTGAAGTGCTTCTCCGAGTTTTCTCTTTTCCCCGAGGTCGCAGTTCATATATTTCAACTTCATCTTCCAAAACATCACTGTCAGAACTAAGGTTGTTCCCAAATGGATATACGTGGCTATCCACCGAAATGGGCTGTACAACAGCTGGGAGTTGGAAACTTAAAGTCTGACTTTTTCCTGTCATTCTACCAGCAGAAATCTAACAGTGAAAAGAGAACAAAAAGAGGGCAACTAAGCACAAACGTTTATAAAGATGTATACACATTATTTCATTCAGCACCCTATTGATATTTTTATTCCTTTAGACAATAATTCAATGAACACAGATCCTTCAGGTTCATTTCTTTTTTTAAAAAAAATCAATAGAAATAAACTGTTGAGACAGCATTATTTCCATATAGGATTGGACTTAGTTATAGCAGAAGAAAGCAAAGTAAATTACAGAGTAAATTACAACCCAATTGGCAATATAAAAACTTTGTACTAGGATAGATTAGAAACATTCGACATCATAAATACTTGTTTGCAACAATCTTTGATCAAAAGGTTTGAAAAGTTAGACTTCAAAATAAAGATTAGATAGGCATCATGAACTCCCTTGTTTGTAACAAGTTTGATCAAAATAAACTGAATACATACACTCAGACTCCTGCAATTAGGTATCAAAAGACTGCTATGGATAAACAACTTCCAAGATGACCTAAGATCCCCGATATTAAATACAGGAAACAGAAGCAATTATTCCGTTCTTCTGGATCAAGGGCTGCACCTGGTTTCTGATGGCTATGCCACAGACGCCTCTCCAAAATGTGTTGCAAAAACTGAATGTGAATTTCATTTACGCAACTATTATTGTAACCTTAGTTAAAATCAAATAGCTGATATGATTCACCGGTTGCTTTTGTCACTATTTACATCTGGCAAGAAGTTCCCAACGTCTCCCGCATGCTTGTGAAACCTCAAGCGCTTACACGTCAGCAGGAAGAAGGGTTCGGACCAAATAGTCCCACAAAGTAAAGGGCAAATGAAAACTCCAGCTGATGAACGTGTCATCTTGGAGGACTCTTGAGTTTTAAGCAAAAAATAAATAAATAATCAGTAGCTGAAGCATTTCCCCACCCTAGCAATAAAAGGAAAAGATACAACGTCCTGATGCCACGCATCAAAAGCCGGGAAACTGGAACAGGAAAATATGATTCCAACAAAGAGGATGGGCGAGTTTGTGATGGAAAAAAGCACCAGGGTCCATGGCAGATCGGCAAAGCTGTTCACTGGTCCCCCGCAACATCTCTCGCCGTTCCCATTTGATCAGCCTCCGCCCGACTCCAGAAATTATTTTTCTAAAAAAACTGCCCTCCTTTTCTGTATTACATACAGACTGGCAAGCAGATTACTCACCAATTTACCCAGGAGCGGCCATTTGCGGACGATGCGTTTTTCGGTGCCGGCTCAACGTTCTCCGCGGATGCCACTATAGAAAGCCTAGGAACTGAAACCACATACAGCTGCTTTGCAAGAGCGAAAGCGCCCGCGCGTCCACAAGATGGCGGCCACTCTGCTCGCTTTCCTCTCGTGAGATCTGAAAATCCCGCGACGGCATTATCCAAAATGGCAATACGCTATTCCCGCGAGATTTTGCAACAGCCCATCTGCTCTTTTACAGCGTTTATTTTTCCCCCATCTCTCCAATAATTTCGTGATATTTGTGCTTGAAAAACTCTCCATCCATAGTGCAGACTGTCGTCAATATTGTCATAATTTAATGACAATTATTTCTTGTGTCTCAAGACTTTGTATACTGTACACCAGTGTTTTCAAATTCGGTTATTTTAAAATGTGTGAAATTCTGGGTGTAAAATCCATACCTCTTTCCTAAATTTTAAACGCGCCTACTGCAGCAAGCTGATGTGTCTATTTGTTACTATGCACAAGAAATACTGTGAAGACTTAGTTTTCACTTCATAAAAATACCATAAAGCTGGAGAAAATGCAGAAAAGAGGAACCAAACTAATATAGGAACTAAAGCATCCCCTCCCCCTAGAAAATAATTATGATAGTTTTTAAAGCTTACAAAAAATGTAGGAGGATGTATATAAACCTGCGGGGGGGGGGGGGGAGACATGAAACTTCTAGGGTTATCTAGTGAAGGTGAATTGTGGAAAATTAGGAACAGACTAAAGGACTGTTCTTATCATAATGCATAGCTAAACATGCATTGTTTCCATCATAAAATGATACTCATTCAGTGAATTTAATGACAATTATTTCTTGTGTCTCAAGTTGCTGGGGAAAATAGTGAAGGAGATACTATTGTGCTTTATGTGCTGCTGGTGTCTTTATAAAAGCTTTGTGTGTATATATGGTGTTGGGAATAATACTCTTCAATACTCTATAATCCATTTAGTTTCCTGGACATCATCCTGTCTCTAACTGAAATAAAATATGACTGTTCAGCTGCACTATTTATTACTTCCTTCTTTTGTTCCCAGGCCTCTTTCTGAAATCTTTAAACTTTTCAAAGTAAATTTTGAATTTTAGCTGGAATTGTTGGTTTATACAATCCAATTTCATTTCACAAATATATGAATATATATAACCACCAGCCAATTGTAGCCCCTACCTCATTGTGGAGGAACAGGAGGTGAGGAGCATTCTGAGGGCTGTGGACCCTAGAAACGCTGCCGGTCCTGACAGTATCTCTGGTCGAGTACTTAAAGACTGTGCTGTACAGTTGGCTGGAGTCTTTACCAGGATCTTCAATCGGTCTTTATCCCAGTCCACTATTCCATCTTGTTTGAAGGCTTCCACCATTGTTCCGCTACCAAAGAAGTTCCCTATCAATAACCTCAATGATTACAGACCAGTGGCACTCACTCCTATAATCATGAAGTGCTTTGAGAAATTGGTGTGCGGGCACATCATTTCTGGTCTTCCACATACATTTGATAAACACCAGTTTGCATACAGAAAAAATAGATCTACAGAGGACGCTATAACCATCACTCTTCAACTGCTCTGACTCATCTAGAACAGCGGGGGGGGGGGGGGGGGCTATGTGAGGATGCTTTTTGTGGATTTTAGTTCTGCGTTTAACACAATTCTTCCACATAGACTAGTGTCTTCTGGACCTTCAATTTGCCTTTGGATTATAGATTTCCTATCTGGCCTCTCACAGAGGGTCAGATTAGGTAATCATACCTCTTCAGCCCTTATTCTTAACAGTGGTACACCACAGGGTTGCGTGTTGAGTCCCTTACTCTATACTCTTTATGTGCATGACTGCATTCCCACTCACGCTAGTAATATTATTGCTAAATTTGCAGATGATACAACAGTGGTAGGACTCATCTCCAGGGGGGATGAGCCTGCCTACCGAGATGAGGTGGACCGGTTGCTTTCGTGGTGTGGAGACAATAACTTGGTCCTTAACACCAATAAGACCAAGGAGCTTATTGTGGGTTTTAGAAGGAACAGATCAGACATCCAGCCCTTGCTTATAAATAGAGACCGAGTGGAGCAAGTGGCCAGTGTTAAGTTTCTGGGTGTTAACGATTGCGGGAGATTCAAAGCAGTGTCATTGGCCGCGGCTTGGCCGGCTAGTTCTATAAAAGCCACTGTTTGCCCTAGCCGGCCCGAGTCGATCTCGGGACCAAATAAAGAGCTGAAACCGGTCACTGACTCCCAAACTTTCTTCCGCATGGCGGACTTAACACTGGCGACGAGGGTGGGATCGCAGAACTGATACCCACCGAGCACGTGGCACCGAGAACACAAGATTGACAGAGATGGCCAGCCTCGCACCGCCCGCACCCTTTAACCAAGCTACTGAGGACTGGGAATCATACATTGATCGGTTCCTGATGTTCCTAGAGAGTAGCAATCTCAAGGATGCAAACGGGCAGAAAAAAAGGGCTGTTTTCCTGACACACTGCGGGCACGCAGTGTTTAAAATGGCAAAAGCCCTCGCGAAACCAGAAGATGTGAAGGCGATGGACTGGGCCGATCTCGAGCCGCTGTTACGAAGCCACTATGCCCCTTCCGTGCCCACCCTCATCAGGCGGCACGACTTCTACAGGCAAGACCAGAAGCCGGGAGAGAACATTAGCGACTTCGTGGCAGACCTGCGGAATCTGGGAATCTGTGCGGCTTCACGGACATGGACGAGGCATTACGAGACCGCGTCGTCCTCGGGCTCAGAGACCCAGTCCTACAAAGCCGGCTGATAGCAAAGGGTGATATCTCCCTCGCTGACGCCCTCGCCGAGGCCACCGTAGCCGAGGCAACCCGAAAATCAGCGGCCCGAATGCGGAGACCCGACACCGGGGACCAAACCAGAGTTTCTGAGGTGACCCCGATGGCCGAGGCGCATCCAGAAGCAAGCCGCCGAGCGACCACCACCCACCATGGCGACCTCGACTCCGCCTCCGACACCACGGACGAAGAGGAGGACATCCATTGACTCCAGACAGAACGAGACCAGCGCGAACGGCGGAGTCGTAAGTCGGGACTCCAATGTGCCGGGTGCAGGGGCGACCATCCTTGATCAGAGTGCCGGTTTTTCGACGCGACCTGCCGGCAATGCAACAAGAGAGGGCACATCGCCCGAGTCTGCAGGTTCAAGAAAGCCTACAGCCCACGACGACGAGACAGCAGCGGCCGGAGACGGGACGGCACCCCCCCCAGGACAAGGGACCGCCAAACCGAGCGTCGCTGGAACCGGGACGGACGGGACCGGAGGAACGGCGAGAACCGACAGAGAGAGGAGACCCACCAGACGGTCGTCATCGGCCGTTCTTCCAGCACGGACGCCCGAAAGGTATACGTGGAAGTGGGCATCGAGGGCAAGCCATGCAAAATGGAGGTGGACTCCGGGTCCTACCTCTCCATGGTTGCATGGCGGGAAATCAAGCGCCTGGTGCCCGCCATCCAAAAGAAGGGGCTGGAGATCCAGAAGTTAATCCTAAAGGACTACCAGGGGAACCGCATCCCCGTAGTCGGAACAGGACAGTTTGAAGTCACATTCAAGGGGCGCACAGCAAGACTTCCCCTGACCGTCGTGGACCGAGACCGACCCAGCCTATGGGGACTACAGTGGTTCGCGCCACTCAGGATCGAAGTAACGGGAATCGACCACATCGCAGAGGCGGATTGGGAGGAGCAACTCGCAAGAGACTTCCAGGAAGTGTTCGACGGCACCCTAGGCAAGTACCGAGGGCCCTCTATTTCATTCAGCCTAGACCCCAGCATTCCCCTGATACGCCTAAAGCCACGGCGGGTACCCTTCGCATTCCGCCCAAAGATTGATGAGCAGATAGACAAACTCATCAAACAAGGGGTCCTAGAGCCAACCGACCATGCCCGGTGGGAGACCCCTATAGTCACCCCAGTCAAGCCCGATGGGTCGGTGAGAATCTGTGGGGACTATAAGGCCACCCTAAACTGCGCCTTACAACAAAGCGCCTACCCCGTCCCAGTAGTGCAGCACCTCCTACACTCACTGGGGGGAGGCAAGGTTTTCGCGAAACTCGACCTGGCACAAGCCTACCAACAATTGCCGGTCAACGCGGAAACCGCCGAGGTGCAAACCATAGTAACCCACCGGGGGGCTTTCCGCTGCAAGAGGCTCCAGTTCGGAGTCAGCGTAGTGCCAGGAATTTTCCAGAGCCTCATGGAAAGACTCCTGCAAGGAATCAAGGGGGTGGTGCCCTACTTCGCCGACGTGCTGGTGTCAGCAGCCAACAGAAAAGAACTGGAGGGTCGCCTGAGGGAGGTACTACAAAAAATCAAAAACGCGGGGCTAAAAGTCAAAAAAGAAAAATGCCAGCTGTATACCGAGAGGGTCGAGTTCCTGGGATATCTCCTAGA